TTTCCATTTAGAATCAAAGGAAAATCTCCATATGAATATAAGTGAATACAAGTGTTTGTGTAGCAAGTATCATAATCTCTGGCCTCATCTCATCTGTAAAATAAATGTTAGAAAATGAGTGGTTTTCTATTTTTATTTTTAGCAGTGGAACCTTGTTTTCAAATGAAACTGTACAGAGACCCCCAGAGAAATAGGACATAGTGCATTCAGCCACTCTTACCCTCCCCTGGTTGTCCTGGAATTGACAATGACTGGGTTAGTCCTTTCAGGCACTCCACGTAGGGCAGTGATTCTCAGAGGATCATCTAGGGTCACTGTGAAAACAATATTGTTATTTGAAAGGAGAACCCTCAGGTACCTAGGCCAGTGCTATTGAGGTAATCTTCAGACTAGTGTTACTGGTCCATGAGGGAGAGATACAAAATTGAGAGCAAGCATTGAGAAATGTTTATAGCAATTTGACATTGCTGTGCTATCCAAGCACATGATCAGTGATGGGCTTATTTTTCTGGATACGATATGGACTAAAAGTGTTGATCCATAATAGATTGGAAAAAAAAACTTTATGGATAATTTGAGAAGCACTGTTCATGAATATTTTCTTATTTAGGACTCCAATTTTCCTCCTAAAGATTGAATAAGTTAGATCATTCCTGAGTGTGTTCAATATTATTATAGCATTACAAATACTTATCAGTTGATTTGATTTATAAGGAAGCTTTATGAAAGATCTTTGAACTAAAGGAATAATGACATTGGTTTTTAAAAATCTTTTATTCATCCATTCATTAATTTTTTTCAATAAATATTTATTGTTTGCCTACCATGTGTCTGGTGAATACAGGAGACCCAATCCTGCTTTATGGGGTCATCAGGCAATTGCCATACTTTTTGCACAGGTTTGCAGCGTGGGGAGTACAGGCTTCCCTGGGCTCTGAGGAGGAGCACCAGACTTGGTTGGGGGCGGGGGGGTGGTGAGTGGTCAAGGGAGGTTCTAATCCCAAAATTAGTAATTGTTAAAAAGCAAATAATTCACAAACTTTGGTAAAAATACCTGAGCCACTCCTTACTGATTGTGACACAAATATTTTTTGAGTCCATACGCTGTGCTTACCCTGTGCCACTTGCTGTTCTGTGTGTGAGGATAAAGCAGACACAGTCCCTGCCCACATGGGGCTTATTATCAAGTGCATGGAGACCAGTGAATGGCTAGGAGTTCTCCTGATGTTGATGAGCCCCACAAGGAAATAAAACAGGGTAGAGTGGTGAGTGTGAGCATGTGATGGTGAATGGGTCGCAGAGTAGTTCTCAGCAAGGAGGTGACATCTGAGTTGAGGCTGAGTGACCTGAAGGAGCTGAGCTGCAGTGGGCTGAGGGTGAGGGAGACGATGGAAGAGCTCAGAGAAGTCAGGGTCAAAGCAAGAGGGAACTGCCTTCGACTCTGCTCTGTGTGCATCTGCAGCCAGGCCCTTGCAGCCCCATCACCCACGCTCATCCTTGGGGGATGTGGGCATCCACAGAGCCCCCATCCCTAAGGCCTGTTTGTGTGCCCCAGGTATTGGCTTCAAAGTTCTTTTGCTTCTAATAGCCAGCTCCTAGGTCTCTTTTTGGGAGGACTGCTCAAGCTACTGGAGGCTCTTTGCCCCCAGTCAGCAGTGCCTGTGTCACAGAACCAAACTCAGGTCTGCTTGTCCACTCACAGTAAAGCCAATCTACTGACACCCAGCTGTGGCGAAGGAAAGTGCAGTCTATCGCAGGGGCCAGCAAGGAGTCCAGGCAGCTAGTGCTCAAAAAGCCTAAACTCCCCAATGTGTTTCAGCAAAACATTTTTAAAGGCCAGGTGAGGGAGGGGAGTCCCAGGGTATATGATCCACTCATGCACAATTGTCTGGTTGGTTGATGGTGAGGTTACAGGGTATTAACATTATCAATCCTTAGATGCCAATAGGTGCTTACGATCATCAACTAGTTAATTTCTTCCTTTTGATGGTGGCTTTAGCATCTGTAAAACAAGTCAGGAAATGTGCATCAGATACTACTTCGGAGAGGAGCTACAGCAGAGGATGGGGGAGGGGTCTGCCCCAGGAAGGCCCCATAGGATCCTGCTCCCTTACACCTGAGGGGCTAGGACCTCCCTCAGGGCCCTTTACCAACCACTCCTTCCCTCAGGTTTGGACACTGGCTCTGAGGCAAACTCTACCTGCACGGCTCTTGCCCTCACTTGCCCTCTGAGGAACACTTCCTCAGAAAGTTGTTTGCTTCTAGGAAATGACTTAAGAGATGAACTGTCCTCCCTGCCACCCACCAGTTTTGAAGTATAGCCTTTGGTATAGTGTTATCATTTTTGTTAATTAAAGATGGGATTAAATTAAATATTTTATAGTATTCCCAAGTTCTTGAAGTTTTTTTGTTTTTGGAACAGCTTCCATTTTAACAGCCATCAAGTGGAAAGGATTTTGTTTTTTATCCTAAAGGCAATTGCCTATTTCTTCTGATTCTGGTGAATTTGTTTACTGTTCAATTAAGTGAAACATTTCCAGAGAGTTATCTATTTTCACTCTTCCAGCTCACAGAGTAGAAGCTAATCTTAAACTGATAAAACTATTAGAGGATTATTTCCTGTTCACACACTGGGTCAATAAAATTACAGAGATTAAACAAGGGAATAAGACAGAGTGTTTAGCAGGGTTTGATTGTGGGAGATATCATCTAGCATCAGAAGCCTGTGAGCTTTTCCACATATTTTCATGTACTAATCACTGTGACTTTCACGTCCCTGTTTCTAAAATGGTCTGGAGCTATGGTTTGAGCAGAATTTGAAGCTGACAGGCCAGTGTGTCTATGTGGAATTTTCCCTCTGTTCTTCAGGGAAAAGTAAAGTTAGATTATATTTATTTTGACTGGATTTCCATTTATTTTAGAACTTTTGGGGCATTTTAATATCTATATATGAAAAGCACTTGGATCTCTTGCTTTTGAAAAATTATGTACAGATCATCCATTCTTCCTCTTTTCCTCCCTACTCCTCCCTTTGTTCCTTCCTTTTTTCTTTCTTTCTTTTAAACAGATGCTAAATCATCTCTCTATCTGAATATCTCACAAAACATAGTTTAAAGTTCCTAAGTGGGTTTTTCTTTGCTTGTAGTAGAATCCTATATCTGGGATATCCTCTTTTATCTTTAGTAGTTTTCTGTCTGAGATTGGACATAGTAAGCGTTCAATAAATATTTCTTGAAGGAATGAAGCCATGGTGCTAGGTCCTGGGCACAATCCTAAAATATTGATATTGTGCTTTTCTTGGTGTGCATCTGTGATGAGAGCCTTGCTTTTCAGCTTTTAGTTCCAGCTCAACTATTTGTCACAAGTATGACAACAATATTGGGAAAATAATTTTTAAATCCTTAGATAAACTGTGTTTGTTCATTTCACAAAATTAAATGTCACTAGATTCTGTTGCAGTAAAATACCCATTGGCACATTCCTTTTGCCTGTAAATACCTCTGAAACACTTGGATTTTGACCATCAATTTCATAATACATTGAGGCATGGAATTATAGGACAATAATGCATGATTTTTCATGCCTGAAAAACACTCTGAAGTCAAGCAGTAGCATTGAAGCGCAACTGGAAAATTTTACATCCAGTCAAGAATTAAACCAATAGTACATTTAATTTTGTATTTGCTAGGTAATTGAAAGTATGAGTATCTTCAACTTTCTTTTTGTTTCTATTCTAAAACAATTTAGTCAGAAATTGATTAAGGAAAGGGTAAACAAATAAATTGTTTCCATTAGTGAACTCATAATAACCTTTTGAGTAGGAGTGGGAAATAGTATTAAAATTTATCCTAGGAAGGGTGACCAACCATAATGACTACAAAGCCTAATTCAGAAGAGTGAGATGCCTATTGGGTTGTGTTCCCAGGCTGGCAGCCTCACTGTCTGGATTGTTAAAACACAAAATTCAACTGAGTACATTTTGAAGATCTTATTGGCTTTATTCAGTGAGTCATGAATGGGCAGCATTCAATCTAGCAGATAGAAAGGAGCTCTGAGGAACTGTACAAATGAAAGACTTTTATAGGCAGAAGAGGGCAGGAACGAGGAAGTTATTCTTCATTAGGAGTTAGTCAAAAAACGGATTGGTTATTGCAAGGTTACTTTTCCTAAAGAGGATAGAGGGTTTTATCAGGCAGCTTGCCTAACTAGTGCTGATCAGGAGATTCCTGATTGGCTAGTTTAAGTTCCCATTTCTGGGAGAGACAAAACTGTAATTAAGTTAAGTTTGGTGACCCAGAGATTAGCATAAACAACTCCATTGTCTAAAACAATGCGCCCATTGTCTTATTTTTAACAGGATGTTTGAGTGAGTCCAGGGGCTGTGCAAGACTGACCCAATTCTTGCAGAAGAGGTTATGACTAGAGTTGACTCACATGGGGATTCAGCTTAAAAACTTTAGGAATTCTGGAAACCCAAGGACACTTTGTGTGTTGCCCTTGACACTGTAATGCTTATTTGCAAGTGGGTGGAGCTTTCTCTGGGATTTTTAGGGGCATGACCACGATGAGAGAGGAACTCCCTGAAGTAGCAGCGTACTCTACTGTTAAGGAAACTTGCCGAGAAAGACAAGTAAGATGGCATAAAAGTGTCAGTTGGACTTCAGGTATTTGCTTATGCATATTTTGGAAACCCCAAATTGGGGCACTTTTCCTGACAAGCAGAACAATACTTGTTGGGGTAATGGGTCAGAATATTTGAAATCAAGAATGACTCAGAAAATATAGGCTAAAGTACTACTATAATTATAAGCTATGCCCTAAATGTATCCAAAGGCCTTTGAATGATAAATAGTAAATGTTATTCATATTAGCATTTATATTGCTATATTACAAATAAATGTTAGTTTGTGCATATTTAAATAAATGTTATAAGTGAATTTTGCCTGCATTAATTGAGAATATGTTGGAGCACATAACCCAACTAAAGTTTTTCCTTCTAGTTTACTTTGAAAGGAATGTGATGTTAATTCTGGGGCATTGATGTTTTACAATGCCTGATCAAGACAAAAAAGTGAAGACCACAGAAAAATCAACCGATAAAAAACAACAAGGAATCATCACCAGGTAACTCCCTTCTGAGTCTTTGCTAATTATTAACTCAGGCAGTGGCCAGCAACCAGATTTAATAGCTTTTTGAGAAATAGAGTAGATCCTTGACAACTGCTGCTCTGGGGTACAGTGTTTACTGAAATGTTTGTGCATTTCTAGAGTTCTACAGAAACATTTAGCATGTATATGTTTCAGTCTATAAAAGCAGGCCTCCAAGTAGCAGTGTTCTATGTTACTAGTGGGTAACATGACTAGTTCACCTGGAGTCTTCTGTTGGTTGACACTGTGTTATTCTTTTTTTTTTTTTTAACATCTTTATTGGAGTATAATTGCTTTACAATGTCATGTTAGTTTCTGCTGTATAACAAAGTGAATCAGCTATATGTATACACATATCCCCATATCCCCTTGTGTTATTCTTTCTCCTAGGGACTATTCAGATCTTAAAAGACTTCTGTGCCTTTTGAACGTTCAGTCAAGCAAACAACAGGTAGTGTTTTCAAAGAATGTGCGTCTATTAACGACAGAGAAATCACATGTTTCCAAAGGGATCCATTTAACATCATGTGAACGATAAGTCTATTTTTCTTTGTTCTTTCTTATGTTTTGTCTTTCTTCTAGCTGTTTCTTTCATACCTGTCAGGTTCAGGATGCAAGACTCTGTATCCACAGCCTTTTCATTCTTTTGCTCTCATGCCTGGGGCCCGCTTTATCCTCTGTTCAGTGCCATGTGTCCTAATCAGCAAAAGCATTTCAGTATAGAAACAGAGCTCTCTTCATTTGAATGCCCAATGTTTGAAACTGCAGAGCTCTAGGGAAGTTGATTTCTCCAAAACACTGTTCATCACCTTTCCCTTCGTCTCTGCTTCCCCACTTCTGAGGCTGCCGACTTGCTACAGCACCACTTTTGATGCTTGCTGCAAATTATATCTCACCAAAAACAGGGGAAAGGAAGGAGTGAGTTTTGGCTATTTTTACAATAGAATTTTTTTTTTTAATAGACAGAGGAAGAATGGTACTGCTGCTTGAATTTATCTCTAAATGTTTCTTTTTGGTTTAGCTTCTGTCAGACTTTAGAGAGTCAAGAGATTAGAGGCTATCCATGGAGGTTTAGGGAATAACACAGAAATGCTAATAATAATGAAGACAGCTTATTTAGCACAGTAAATTAGTAAATGGCAGGGATGGGATTTGAACCCCGGGAGCCAGACTCCAAAGTCAACTGTGGTATACTTGTTAAGTAAATTTGTTTATGAGCTCATGTGGTAATACAGCCCTACTGGCTTTTGTTATATCCACTAAACCTACCAGAGAACTACAGCATTTACAACATTTTTTTTATTGAAGTATAGTTGATTTACAATATTATATTAGTTTCAGTGGTACAACATAATGATTAAATCTTTTTAAGATTATACTCCATTTATAGTTATTGTAAAATATTGACTATGTTCCCTGTGCTGTACAATATATCCTTGTAGCTTATTTATTTTATACATAGTAGTTTGTACCTCTTAATCCCCTACCCCTATATCACCCCTCCTCACTTCCCTTTCCCCTCTGGTAACCACTAGTTTATTCTCTGTGAGTCTGTTTCTGTTTTGTTATACATACTCGTTTGTTTATTTTTAAGATTCCGCATATAAGTGATAACATACAGGATTTGTCTTTCTCTGATTTATTTCACTAAGGTTAATAATTTCTAGGTCCAACCATATTGTTGCAAATGGCAATATTTCATTCTCTTTTATAGCTGAGTGAATTCCATTGTGTGTGTGTGTGTGTGTGTGTGTGTGTGTGTGTGTGTGTGATATATACGTGTGATATGTATATCATCTACATAAATCTGTTGATGGGCATTTAGGTTGCTTCCATATTATGGCTATTGTAAATAATACTGCTATGAACATTAGGGTGCACGTAACTTTTCAAATTAGTGTTTTTGTTTTCCTTGGATATATACCCAGGAGTGGAATTACTGGATCATATGGTAGTTCTATCTTTAGTTTTTTGAGGAACCTCCATACTGTTTTCCATAGTGGCTGCACCTGTTTACATTCGCACCAGCAGTGTTCCCTTTTCTCCACATCCTTGCCAACATTTGTTACATGTTGTCTTTGTGATGAGAGCCATTCTGATGGGTGTGAGGTGATATCTCATTGTGGTTTTGATTTGCATTTCCCTGATGATTAGCAAGGTTGAGCATCTTTTCATGTCCCTGTTGGCCATCTGTATGTCTTCTTTGCAAAAATGTCTATTCAGGTCTTCTGCCCATTTTTTAATCAGATTGCTTGTTTTTTTGATATTGAGTTGTATTAGCTATTTATATATTTTAGGTATTAACCCCTTACTGGTCATCATCATTTGTGAATATTTTCTCCCATTCAGTAGGTTGTCTTTTCATTATGTTGATGGTTTCTTTGCTATACAAAAGCTTTTAAGTTTAATTATATCCCATTTGTTTAGTTTTGCTTTTGTTTCCTTTGCTTTAGGAGACAGAACCAAAAAAATATTGCTACAGGTTATGTCAAGGAATGTTTTCTTCTAGGAGTTTTATGGTTTCCAGTCTTACATTTGGGTCTTTGATCCATTTTGAGTTTGTTTTTGTATATAGTGTGAGAAAATGTTCTAATTTCATTCTTTTACATGTACCTGTTCAGTTTTCCCAGCACCACTTATTGAAGAGACTGTCTTTTCCCCATTGTATATTCTTGCCTCCTTTGTCATAGATTAATTGACCATAAGTTTGTGGGTTCTTTTCTGGGCTCTTGATCTATGTGTCTTTTTTGGTGCCAATACCATACTGTTTTGATCACTTGTAGCTTTGTAGTACAGTTTGAAGTCAAGGAGTTTGATCCCTCCAGCTTTGTTCTTTTTTCTCAAGATTGCTTTGGCTATCCAGGGTCTTTTGTAGTTCCATAAAAATTTTAGGATTATTTGTCCTAGCTCTGTGAAAAATATCATAGGTGTTTTGATAGGGATTCCACTAACTCTGTAGATTGCTTGGGTAGTATGGACATTTTAATGATATTAATTCTTACAATCCACAAACACAGGATATCGTTCCATTTCTTTGGTGTCTTCAATTTCCTTCATCAGTGTCATATAGTTGTTGTTTTTTTTTAACATCTTTATTAGAGTATAATTGCTTTACAATGGTGTGTCAGTCTCTGCTCCATAACAAAGTGAATCAGCCATACACATACATATGTCCCCACATCTCCGCCCTCCCGCATCTCCCCCACTCCCACCCTCCCCATCCCACCCCTCCAGGTGGTCACAAAGCACCGAGCTGATCTCCCTGTGCTATGCGGCTGCTTCCCACCAGCTATCTATTTTACGTTTGGTAGTGTAAATATGTCCATGCCACTCTCTCACTTTGTCCCAACTTACCCTTCCCCCTCCCCGTGTCAATGTCATATAGTTTTTAGAGTATAAGTCTTTTACCTCCTCAGTTAAGTTTATTTCTATGTATTTTATTCTTTTGGATGCAATTATAAATGGGATTGTTTTCTTGCTTTCTCTTTCTGATAGTTCATTATTAGTGTATGGAAAAGCAACATTTTTTGTATATTAATCTTGTATCTTGCAGCTTTACTGAATTCATTTATTAGTTCTAATAGTTTTTGGTTGGAGACTATAGGGTTTTATGTATATAGTATCATGTTATCTGAAACTACTGACAGTTTTACTTCTTCCCTTCCAATTGGGATGCCTTTTATTTCTTTTTCTTGTTTGATTGCTGTGGCTAGAACTTCTAATACTGTGTTAAATGCATGTGAGGAGAGTGGACATCTTTGTCTTTTTTGTGATTTTAGAGGAAAAGCTTTCAGCTTTTCACCATTGAGTATGATGTTAGGTGTGGGTTTGTCATATATGATCCTTATTATGTTGAGATGTGTTCCTTATACCAACTTTGATGAGAATTTTTATCATGAATGGATGTTGAATTTTGTCAGATGCTTTTTCTGAGTCTATTGAGGTGATCATGTGATTTTTATCCTTCCTTTTGTTAATGGTGTGTATCACATTAGTTTATTTGTATATATCCTTGTGACCCTGGAATAAATCCCAGTTGATCATGGTGTATGACCCTTTTATGTATTATTGAATTTGGTTTGCTAGTGTTTTGTTGAGAATTTTTGCATTTATGTTCATCAGAAACATTGGCCTGTAAGTTCTTTTTTTGTAGTGTCTCTGTCTGGTTTTGGAATCAGAATAATGATGGCCTTGTAAAATGAATTTGGGAGTGTTCCCTCCTCTTCAATCTTTGGTAGTAGATTGAAAAGGATAGGCATTAGCTCTTCTTCGAAAGTTTGGTAGAATTCCCTCGTGAACCTGTTTGGTCCTGGACTTTTGTTGGCAGAGAATTGTTTAAACTTCTAATTCAGTTTCACTACTAGTGTTCTGTATGTTCAGGTTGTCAATTTCCTCCTCATTGGTCTTAGAAGATTGTATATTTCTAGAAATATATCCATTTCTTCTAGGTCTTCCAGTTTGTTTGCATATAACTGTTTGAAGTATTCTCTTTAGATTTTTTGTATCTCTTTGATATTGGTTGTTATTTCTTCTCTTTCACTTCTTATTTTGTTTATTTGAATCCTCTCTCTTTTTTTCTTGATGAGTCTGGCTAAAGGCTTATCAATTTTATCTTTTCAAAAAAAAAAGCAGCATTGGATTCATTGATGTTTTGTATTGTTTTTTGGTCACTATTTTATTTATTTTCTCTCTGATCTTTATTATTTCCTTCCTTCTGCTGACTTTGGGCCTTGTTTCTTCTTCTTTTTCTGATTCCTATAGATGAATGGTTAGGTAGTTTATCTGAGTTTTTCTTGTTTCTTGATATAGGCCTGTATCACTATAAACTTCCCTCTTCAAACTGCTTTTGCTGTATCCTATATAGATTTTGGAAAATTGTGTTTTTATTTTCATTTGTCTCAAGGTATTTTCTAATTTCCTCTGATTTTTTTTTTTTTTTTTTTTTTTGCAGTATGTGGGCCTCTTACTGTTGTGGCCTCTGCTGTTGCGGAGCACAGGCTCCGGACATGCAGGCTCAGCGGCCATGGCTCATGGGCCTAGCTGCTCCACGGGATGTGGGATCTTCCCGGACCGAGGCACGAACCCACGTCCCCTGCATTGGCAGGTGGACTCTCAACCACTGCGCCACCAGGGAAGCCCTGATTTTTTTTTTTTTTAAGTGACCCATTGACTTTTTTAGTAACATGTTGTTTACTCTCCAGTGTTCATTTTTCTATTTTTCTTCCTGTAATTGATATCTAGTTTCAAACCATTGTGGTTAGAAAAAATGCTTGATATAATTTCTATCCTCTTCAATTCATTGAGACTTGTTTTGTGGCTGAGCATGTGATCTATCCTGGAGAATGTCCCATGTGTAGTTGAAAATAACATATATTCTACTGTTTTTGGATGAAATGTCCTTTATATATCTATTAAGTCCAACTGATCTAATGTGTGATTAAGACCACTGTT